GTGTGTACTCTCAGGCTTGTAGTGATGAATCCATGTTTCATTGCCAGTTACAATTGTTTTAAAGAAACTTTTACCTGCCCTTTGAGTGTCGGTCCAAATTTTGTTTGCAGATGTCCAAACACTTCTGTTTCTGTTCTTCTGTATGTTGTTTCAGTACCCATCTCGCACAAACTGTGAAATCCACGTCTGCCGTAGATTATTTAATAGTCTGAGCCATGGTTGATTTGCAAATGATTTGCCACATAGTCCCTTGTTACTGATCTATGCAACGGAATTATGCCATGTGTACCATTAGTGTTGTCATCAGCTACAGACGTGGACAGGCGTGTTAATATAACTGGAGTGTAGATAAGTTTTGACTCACCCTCACGTATGCTTCCCCATTGCCTTCTTGCCTGCATGGTTTCTGCTGAGAAATCAGAGCTAATCTTGGTTTTCCTTTTAATGTAACATTTCATTTTCTCCCAAGCTGCTTTCAGGATTGTTTCCTCATCTTTGATTTTGGAAAGTTTGATTATGAGATGTCTTGGTGGGTTTCTTTTGGGGTCTATTCTGTTTCTGTTTTGTTCATCTTCTTTTGAATGCATATCTTCTCCTCTTTCATGATGTTAGGGTAATTTTTGCTCTGTTGTACATATTGACTCTTTTTTCTGTGCTGTTCTTTGTCTCTGCCTGTTCTGGAATTCCAATCAGCCATAGGTTCACCTCTTCACTTTGTTCCACAGAAACCTTGGGCTTCTCTTGGATTTTCTTGGTCTTTTTTTTCTGATTGTTTTTCTAGTTTACTAATTTTGAGAGATTTATCTTCCAGCTCTCTAATTCTGCCTTCCCTTGACTCACATCTTCTCCTCTTTCCTTTCAGTGTGTATTGTCTATTTCTGATATTTCAGCATTACTGTCTGAATTTCTGTTTGCAAGCTTTATATTGTCTTCAGTTTGATCTATTTTCTATGATTGTTACTGTAGTGCTTTTCTGAATTACTCCAGGTTTTCCTCAACCTTTGTGTTAGTTGTTTGGAGTCAGCTAAACATCATTCTCCTGAATTCTCTTTCAGGCAGTTTTAGTGCCTCTTTTTCTTGTAATTCTGCCCCTTGGTCGTTTGTTTTAGCTACTCTATCTTGTTTCTTCATGTGAAAAGGAACTGTCTGCTGCTTTGGAAACATTGTGGTCGTGTTGTGTTTGTTCATAGTTCATGCAGTTTAGTTCAGGGTGAGTTTAGATGATGTGGTTGTTGTGATTGATCCAGTGTATAATAGCAGCCAATATTGACTCTAGCCCAGTTGGTGGGGTTGTAGAGGATACAGCTGTGGCTGATCTGTATGGTCACAGTTGCTGTCTCCCATTAGGTGAGACAAGAAGAGAAAACACACACATAAGAGAAAAGGAAAACAAACAAATACACCAGCAAAAAATAAAATAGTATGAAATAAGAAGGAAAAAAATAATTCAAAAACTGGCTACTGTCTTCTCTCCACTGCCCAAGAAAGTTCAAGATGGTTCCACTGCGCCTCTCTGGCTGCACTGCTAACCGTGTCATCCCCCCCACCCTCTTTACCCCTCGTGCCCATTCAGCCGCTTCTCCTAGTGAGATCTAGTCCACAGCTGGCCAGGGTCGACTGGGCCGATTTGGAGCAGGGCCTGCCCAAACAGGATTATTGCAGATGGTTCTCCCTCCTACAGTGGGGCTCACAACCTTGGCTTCTGTCTCTGAGCGGTTCCAAGTGGCTCCGACCACTTGGAAAGTTGGGCCCTTGCCTGGTGGTGTGTGTTCATGGAGGCAGGTCTTGCCTCTGCTCACTAGGGGACCTGTGGGGAACCAGAATGGGGATTAAAAAATCGCACCTTAGTCTCTGTGAGCCACAGGTAGTTTTCTGCAACGTGAATATGTTTTCTTGTCTCTGAAGCCACTCAGTTCAGGATAGCTGCAGCAGGTCCTGTCTGCTGCCTTGGCTCAGCTCTTTGCTGTGTCTGGTCAGGTCGCTTCCTTAGTAAGCTCTTGATCCAGTTTTCTATCCTTTCCTTTGCAACTTCTCATCCGGTTTTCTGTATCCTTGCTACAGCCTTTCTGCCCCATCTGCCTCATCTTACCCCACCTCCTCCTGTCATTGTGATTTCTGTGGACTGAAAATGAAGTCATCAGAAAAGTTGGTGGTGGTTTATTGTGAATCAGGCATTTAGTGGGGAAGTAGCAACACAATGCCAGAACTCTTAGCCTAGTGAAAGAGACAGAAGAGCAAATTAAAAGTCACACTGCAGCGTACTAAATTAGAAGAGCACATAGGAGGAGTGGCGGTCAGGCATCTTTTCATACTTCACTGTTGAAGCATTAGTAGTGTGCCTGCCTTTAACAGAAATCTTTTGGCCTCTTGCTTGCTTCTGTTTGACAAGGAAAAAATGTTTGAAAGGTGGTTTGTAGAAGAAGTTTCAGTGTGTTCCTAGCGATTGGAATTCCAGCCACAGACGGAACAGTTTCTTTGTTCCCACTCCTTTTCAGACTCACCTCTTATCCCTCTGACTTTCAAGAACTCCAGGGACATTGAGGGCTATTGAACTCACGGAGACCGTGCCCTTCAAATAAACTTAAACGTACAATGGAAAAACTTCAGAAGCAGTCTTTTCCCAGAATTACCAGTGATTATTTAGAAAGATTTTGAGTCTTTTCATGTTATCTGTACAGTTGAAGAAATAAGACAAAACAGAAAACAAAATAATACCTTATATCCTAAGTGTAAAAACATTTGAGTTGGCAAATAATATTAGTAGCAGAATGTCAAGGTAAAGATGAATTGTTTCATTTGGATGGGAATGAAACTTGTAGTCACTAATGAAGAGGTTTTGTAAAATTGCCCTATGTTTTGATCTCATGAGTCTTATTTATACTTTTTTGGGTATCATAATGTGTTCTCCATTGTGTAGTGACATCCAGAATTGTGGATAACAGTAAAGAATTTTTTATTCTTAGATTCTTGTTTTACTATTTTATTTATCTGATAATTTTGAGAAATAACCTAGGATTCTCCTTCACTGCATTGCATACTAAATAATATAAAAATTAAGTACTGTTTGGTACAGCGCTGTGGGCTAATGCATCAGACTGCAAAGTCGTTTGAACTGCAAGGTTGGTGGTTCAAGCTCACCAGCTGCTCCTTGGAAACCCTATAGAGGGTTGATATGGGTCGGAATCAACTCAAAGGTACTTAACAACAACATATGTAAAACATGTAACTTTAGAAAGAGCATTTAATATCTACTGTAAATTAAAACTTTTCATAGTAAAAAATGTTCTTATCCAACTGTTCATTTACCAAAATAAAGAAAGGAACAAAGTCTGTATTTTGGTATGATCACCCCAATTTGTATTATTTTATTCCCATGCTTACTAGCTTGAAAGTTTTAAAATCCATAACGGTTATCCATATTTAATATATTGTTGTT